AAAATAATAAAAATCTATTATTATACAGGACGCAGCTAACTCGGCCATGTTGGGAGCAGCTTACCAGGCGAAACAAAGTTATGGTGGAAAGAAATACAACGAGATCATAGCAGCATTACATAATCCAACAAAAGTGTGTGATCCGTATCCCGATGCTCCGGAAATCTACGATCCCATGGTCGTAAGGTTTCGACAAATAATTAAAGAATTAGTGGCACAAAAGAAATAAAAATTTTCAAACGAAACTCTCTAACTGATTTTCTGTAAATAAGTATACGTAGAACTCGTCATTACTATCACATACAGAGTGATTGATAAACAAAAATATATAAATAAAATGCTGTAAAACAGAATTTGTCGTTTGACAGGAGTTAATAACTCTATACTGGGTGTCCCAGAAATAAGTGCAAGTATTTTAACGGGTGGTAGATCTCGATAAAAGAAACCAAAATATCGGAGTTATTTTACTTTGCGAATTTCCAAAAAAAAATGATTTTTTGCTCAAATTTTGAGGACTACCGGATCTTTTCTGGATGTTCTTTCTTGTAAACTTAATCTACTACCCATGTTGCCATATTATCAAGAAATTATGTTTTTTAACCAAAAATTTAAAAAAAAAATCCAAAAAATTCCGAATTTTCAATTTTTTTTCGCGAAAAAAACCTCACAGGCGTGTTTCTGGGGTTGAACTATACTACCGGTTAAAATACTTGCACTTATTTCTGGGACACCTTGTATATCTATTAATTCAAACGAAGAGAAACATATTTGATATTATTTGCCTCATCTTTAACAATTTCAGTTTGACAGCTTCACATATTGAAATATATACATTATAATAAATATTTTTATACAGATCTGGACATGTTAAATCCGTAGTCTGGATTTTAAGGTGCAAGATAATGATGGAGATAACCTAATGGAAATTCGATTGTGTTGAACAGAGGTAAAGAATGGGCTAATACATTTTCTTCTATGCGGTATTGACGGTTTTCTATTAAAATATTTATTACCGACTGAACTAAAGTAATTTCGCTGCAATTTTAAAATCCGGTATAATATTTCACATTCTTTTGTGCTCGTTTAATTCAATATTGAATTTTATCTCCCTACATTTCATTGTATCTCTTTATCTTTGTCTTACTCATTAAAACAAGAACTACAGATTTAAGATGACCAGTTCTGTATAAAGTGTTTTACTTCATTACTAATATTTTTCCAGTAATGCTAAGATATGTTTTTATATTCTTGTTTAAAAACAAGTAAATAAAAAATACCTCTTTTGTGGGTATACTCAATTTTGTGTTCAAATTTTTCTTCTACGCAAAATGATCATATTATATTCTGATTGTTAAGCTTTAATGGGAATATTTATTTAAGAATAAACTAATAAAACACATTCCAAATATTAAAAAACATTCCTGATATGACTTCTAAAAAAATAATGTCTTCTGCAATTTTTGTTTAATTAAAAAATTCCTAATAAAACTAGTAGTATATGCACTATTTTTTCCCAGTTTTCCTATTTACTAAGCTATAAAACTTTTTCATGTTTCTTATTTTTTTTTCTCACTGAAAGGTTTAAACATTCCTCATAAAAATATTGAAAATGTACCTAAGGTACTTAGATAGGTAGTACTTAGGATTCTTAGGTAGAATACCTAAGAAAAGTGGCTACACAATAGACATTCTTCCTAACTGTACTGTACTAAGTCTTCCAGCAAGAGAAAGACATCCAAAAATTGTCAGAATAAAAAAATCATACAACTGTCAATGTCTATATTCTCTGTTAGACAGCAGACTATAGTGCAGGCAAGTTAAAACTACATTGTAAATAATAATAATATATTGTAATATTAAAAGAAATAAAGGACGCTGTGACAATTAATATGAAAATTTAAAAAGTGTATTATTTGTACCTACATATTTTTGTGATATAAGGTAGAGATGGGCAATAAATCACAACCCCAGAAACACGCCTATGAGTTTTTTTTTGCGAAAAAAAAATGTTGAAAATTTAAAATTTTTCTTGACATTTTCCGGGAAATTTGAAAAAACTTTTTAGTGCCACTTGTTTATTCACCTGAGTTTTCCCTACGGTGTATCTAAACCTTGCAGTGTTGCAACCTCCTATGTTATCCACATTCTACATAGTTCGGCGGAACATAGTTCTACATTTATAAATTCATAGACAAATTTCTACTCAAAAAATTAGGAATGTTAAATTTAATCTTTTATCGGTGCTCATTATTAATAATTATAGAAAAAAAAACACATTAATTATTTTTAGTACTTACCCCTTCAATGAAAACTTAACAAAAACCACCGAAAATTAACTAAAACATTACGTTTATGACGTTTACGAAAATCTGTGTTATGCTGCAAAATAACTTTATTTTGGAATAAATTTAATAAAATGATTCATATTATTCACAATCAGGTCACAAAAAGAAATTCCCAAAATGTTTATCGTAATTTAGAATTCAATTCAAGAAATTTAGAAAACAGCCCAACGAATAATCGATTCATTTTTGTTTTGTTTGTTTTCTTTCATATTTCTCTATTTTATTTTAACCACTGTTTTACAAAACACCTTGAAAAGCGCACATTACTTTGAATACCTTTCTGAATGAATAAATGTTGAGAATTATTGTCTCTTATCGCCACTTTACGAACTACTTTCAATCTAAGAAAATACATGTTTCACTCAACAATTTTGACAACGTATTTTGTTTTTCGCTATTTTTTCGATGTATTTCGACAATTTCCATCGACAGCCTAACCGTCAGCCAAGAACTGCCGCGTGTGAACTGGTCCTTTGAGTCGCCGTGGTCGCCGCGCCGTCGTGGCGGGCTTGCGTCGAACGACGATGTTAAGCAACGTTGCCGTAGTTACAACAATTTCAAATTCAAGACATTCGAAGCAATCAAATTCGTATTAAATTTTAAAAATAAAACAGAGAAACATGAAAGGAAATAAACAAAACAAAAATGAATTGATTATTCGTCGGGCTGTTTTTGATGTATTGAATTCTGAATTACGATAAACATTTTAGAAATTTCTTTTTTGTGACCCTATCAGTAACCAATTCATTTGTGTTTTGTTTGTTTCCTTTCATGTGTTCTGTTTTATTTTTAAAATTTAATAAGAATTTGATTGCTTCGAGTGTCTTGAATTTGAAATTGTTGAAACTACGGCAACCTCGCATGACGCAAGCTCGACACGGCGGCGCGACAAAGGAGCAGTTACCAGTGATGCGCCGCTCTCTTGGCCGGTGGCCGACGCGACGATTGGGCTGTCGATGGAATTGTTGAAATACATAGAAAAAATAGCGAAAAAACAAAATATGTATTTAAAATTGTTGAGTGAAACATGTATTTCCTTAGATTGAAAGTAGTTCGTAAAGTGGCGGTGAGAGACAATAATTCTCAACATTTATTCATTCAGAAAGGTATTCAAAGTAATGTGTGCTTTTCAAGGAGTTTTGTAAATCAGTGATTCAAATTGTGATGAGGCCTATATGAAAATAATGTGTTAAAAATGGGGACACTGTTATTTTAGTAGTTATTATAATAACTACAGCATGTACAAGTAAAGCAGCACAGTGAAGTGTATTTTAGTTAAGTGTATATCGAAAAAGAGAATTGTCACAGTTACAATCTGTCATAAGTATCTTTTTTAATGTTGGGTAAGTTTTTTAATTTAACTTTTTTAACACATTTTTTAACACATTATTAAACATTTAACTTTTAATTTATTTTATGTAATAATATCACAATCTTAAAAATGTAATGAATCTCTGCAAACTCGTCAGGTGTTGTGATTTTATGACTTACTTTTAACATACACTTTCTTGTCCCTATGGCAACACAGTGCGTCGAATTAACTGAAATTCGGGCTTGATCCGGGCAATTGGATGTAGTTGGCGATATCTGCCGGCGGTTCTCAAAACGTTGCGATTATTTTTTTAAATTTTCAAAGTTAAATAACTCGGTTATTTTCAATTTATTTTAAAAATGGTAAAGAGAAAATATGTTTATTTTGACCAGATCTACCACCCCTTAAAATATTGCACTCAATTCTGGGACACCCTGTATAAGCAAACCTTATATCCGTGGCGGCTCGTCAGGGTAGGCATTGTTTCGTTTTGATTTTTAAATGGCACCCTCGGTATTTTTTTACTTTATTCGACAGAAAATGACACTCTGAAAAGAATGACATATCAGATGTCAACTTTGACATTTTCGCATATTGTTTATTTGAAATTGTAACATGCGGTTCATAACGACAATTTGACTCGAAATCGAAATACCCAGTGTGTGGTATGAAATTATTCTTAAAAATTGCTTTTTCCAAATATGATGAGCCACCCTGGGTCTGTTTTAAAAAAATTGAGATATGATTAAAAATACGATTTCAGCATTTTCCAGCAACTGACCAGGACAAGACACTAAAAACATTAGATGATCAAGTCTATTTTTCCAATGACTCCTTGATTAAGAGTTAGTGTTTTAACATAGCCATGGCGGCTCTAGATTGAATTTTAAAATACCTTTTTTAATTAAGCGAGAATGTCAAAAGTTGACATATGATATGTCATTCTATTCGAAGTGTGTCATTCTCTATTGAATAAAGTAAAAAATACCGAGGGTGCCATTTAACAATCAAAGTTGTAGTTATTTCCGGTAAAACAGGAAGTGGCCAAAAACAATTGAATACGTCAATCAATCCTAATTTATGTCATATACTAACATACCAAATCTCGTTTTTTATCTGAAAAATAAAGGTTATAGGGGGTGAGCCACTTTTGAGACGCACCCGGTACACCCATTAAATATTGAATAAGTTGGTAAATTATTTGAACCAATAATTAATTTCCCTTAAGTAACTCTTTAAATTGTATCTGTTAATCAGGAAATTCAGAAAAAAAAAATAGTTCTATATATTTCTATTTTTTTTACTTTAATAATTCTAAGCCGAAGAATAAAATGACAAACCGCTGTTTTACAATATTAGTTATTCAGTTACACTTTAACTATTTGTTTTTATTAAACTAAAATATTTATCTTAATAACCTTACGAATAAAAATATACGACATTGAAACCTTTTTGTCGAAATTATTTTTTCCTTCCGCCTCTTTCCTTCACCTGAAGTTGAATGACAGCCGCTGGAGTGATGTTGTAATAAGCCAGCGTGTTTGAATCTTTGAAGAACATGCCCTACAATACAATAAACAGGGTTTAACGCGTGTTATTTTTTAATTAACGTAAAATTAGATCTAAATTTAAAGATATTTATTTCACTTACGTCAAAGAATAACTTCTGCTTAGCCGGCGGCATACTTATCTCCTCCTGTATCTTAGCCTTCAAATTAGCCACAGACTCTCCCAAGGGCAGAGTAAAATTCAACACTTGACCACTTAGTTTCCATTCGGATTTTTCCGGCATCATCGGGATAGTAACTTTCACCATTACTGGACTCTGGAGATAAGTTAAGTTTAATAAAAAACTAAATATTTAATAGTATTCTCCTTAGTCTTACTGGGTTTCTGGCCAAGAACACCTCTTCGGGTACCAGGGAGTCCTCGTTTCGCATTTTTTTGTTGCTGGGTTCATCATCTAATTGTACCTCGCTGGGATGTTTCATGGGCATGGTCACTGGAGGACCCATTGGAGGTGGAGGTAGGGGTGTTACAAAACCGGCCATTGGAGGATGTGTTGGAACTGAGAAGTATAATTATTTTTTTATATAACAAAAATCTAACAAAAAAGTATTACTGTCTTTTAATTGTAAAAATAACTGTTCTAAATTGGTGGTCTCTATTCTAAAGACATACATATACATAATAAATTGGAATATTACAAATAAACCACGATTTATAAAGACTGGAAACTGAACAGTACCTACAGGCCAATCTGAATAGTCCAGCAGCAACCTTCTCTTGAATTAAAGATATCTATAAAGAGACAACACAAAACTCTTCGATTCTCTCTCTAGAGATATCTTTTATTGATCTATTATTTGCTGTCTCACAAACTCTTCTATTATCCCTCTAGAGTTCTCTAGAGAGAGAATAGAAGATATTTCAAGAAAGAGAATAGTAGAGGTCTCTAGAGAGATAATAGAAGAGTTTGCCAGGCAACTATTAATAGATCAATAAAAGAAATCTCTAGAGAGATATATCTTCTATTTTTTAGAGGGAGAATAGAAAAGATCTCTAGAGAGACAATAGAAGAGACTATAAGAGTTCGCCTAAACGGCTAATATTCATCAATAATAGATCATAGAAACGATCTCTATAAAGGGAATAGAAAAAATCTCTAGAATCTCTTCTACTGATTTATTATTTGCTGTCTGTCGAACTCTTCTATTATTTCTCTAGAAATCTCTAGAAGGAGAATAGTCAATATCTAGACAGCTAGTAGAAGAGATCTCTAGAGAGAGAATAGAATCAATCTCTAGGGAGATAATAGAAGAGTTCGCTAGACATCAAATAATAGATCAATAACAGATCACTAGAAGAGATCTCTAAAGAGGTCTCGAGATACTTTCTATTCTCTCTCTAAAGACACTCTCTCTGGCAAACTCTTCTGTTATCTCTCTAGAGAGCTCTTCTATTCTCTCTACCGAGATTTCTTCTATTCACTCTCAAAATATTTTTGCTATTCTCTCTCTAGAGATATTTCCTAATAGGGAATATGTTAGAGATCTCTCCTAGTCTCTCTCTACATATATTTCCAACTCCCTATCAAAGGATCTTCTCTATATTCTCTCTAGACATCTCTTCTATTCTCTCTAAAGAAATCTCTTCTAATATCTCTAATAAAAGAGATACTACAAGAGACCTCTAGACCTCTCTAGATATCTCTTTTATATTGATTTATCATTTGCTGTCTGTCAAACTCTTCTATTATCTCTCTAGAAATCTCTATAGAGAAATGACCAGAGGGAGAATAGAGAGAGAATAGATGCAATCTCTAGAAAACTAATATAAGAGATCTCTAGAGAAAGAATAGAAGCAATCTCTAGAGAGCTAAAAGAAGAGAGAACAGAATAAATCTCTAGGGTTATAATAGAAGAGTTCGCCAGACATCAGATAATAGATCAATATCAGATCAATAGAAGAGATATCTAAAGAGATCTTGAGATCCTTTTTATTCTCTCTCTAAAGACACTCTGTCTGCCAAACTTTTCTATTACCTCTCTAGAGAACTCTTACATTCTCTCTACTTCTATTCACTTCAAAATATTTTATCTATTCTCTCTCCAGAGATATTTTCTATTCCCTTCCTAGAGATCTCTACTATTCTCTGTCTAAATATACTTCCAATTCTCTCTCTAGGGATCTTTTCTATGCTCTCCCTAGAGATCTTTTATTCTCTCTAGAGATCTCATCTATTCTCTCTAGAGAAATCTCTTCTATTCTCTCTAATAAAAGAGATATCTAGAAAGAGAATAGGAGATACCTCTAGACCTCTTTAGATATCTCTTTTATATCGATTTATCATTTGCTATCTGTCAAACTCTTCTATTATCTCTCTAGAAATCTCTAGAGAGAAAGGACCAGAGGGATAATAGAGAGAGAATAGATGCAATCTCTAGAGAGCTAGTAGAAGAGATCTTTAGAGAAAGAATAGCTAGTAGAAGAGATCTCGAGATCCTTTCTATTCTCTCTCTAAAAACACTCTGTCTGGCAAACTCTTCTATTATCTCTCTAGAGGGCTCTTCTATTCTCTCTACAGAGATCTCATCTATTCACTCTCAAAATATTTTTGCTATTCTCTCTCTAGAGATATTTCCTAATAGGGAATTAGATATATAGATAGATTCTCTCTCTACATATATTTCCAACTCCCTATCAAAGGATCTTCTCTATATTCTCTCTATAGCTCTCTTCTATCCTCTCTAGAGAAATCTCTTCTATTCTCTCTAATAAAAGAGATATCTAGAAAGAGAATAGGAGAGACCTCTAGACCTCTCTAGATATCTCTTTTATATTGATTTATCATTTGCTGTCTGTCAAACTCTTCTATTATCTCTCTAGAAATCTCTAGAGAGAAAGGGCCAGAGGGAAAATAGAGAGAAAATAGATGCAATCTCTAGAGAGCTAATAGAAGAGATCTCTAGAGAAAGAATAGAAGCAATCTCTAGAGAGCTAATAGAAGGGATCTCTAAAGAGAGAATAGAATCAATCTCTAGGGTGATAATAGAAGAGTTCGCCAGACATCAGATAATAGATCAATATCAGATCAATAGAAGATATATCTAAAGAGATCTTGAGATCCTTTATATTCTCTCTCTAAAGACACTCTGTCTGGCAAATTTTTCTATTACCTCTCTAGAGAACTCTTACATTCTCTCTACTTCTATTCACTTCAAAATATTTTATCTATTCTCTCTCCAGAGATATTTTCTATTCCCTTCCTAGAGATCTCTACTATTCTCTGTCTAAATATACTTCCAATTCTCTCTCTAGGGATCTTTTCTATGCTCTCCCTAGAGA